TCTCTTTCTCCCTTTCCCCTGTCTAAAAATAGATAAATAAAACCTTTTTTTTTTTTTTTTACAAAACACTATATGAGATAATACATGTAAAGTGCTTGGACTCCTGAGTGCCCAGTAAATAGTAGTAGTGACTATTATGACTTTTAGCAAATAATATAACTACAACCTTTTGGGGGATATTGCTGTAAGCAAAGAAGTCAACAACATTTATTTTGGAGTCCTGATCACATCCCTCGGTCCGCTCCAGGCTCCCCTACCCCTCAACAGCATGTACCCTTGGAAGAGGATCTGACTGTGATAATTTAGTGTAGCTTTGTGTGGGTGAGGATATGTCAATACCTTCCCATGTTACCCGGTGAGGAACATTCCTTTTTCAGACCTGAGCTTTCATTTTAGCCCCCAAAGCTTTGTGTGCTTTCAAAAACAAACAAACAAACAAACAAACAAACAAACAAACAAACAATCCCTGTTTGGGTTGCTCAGCTGGCTGTGCGGCCTGTACACCAAAAGGTTTCATGTTCAGTCCTCAGTTGAGGCTCAAAATGGAGACACCCATTCAGTGTCATTCCTCTCTAACATGATGTTTCGTCTCTCCTCTCTGTCCAGAACCAATAAACATGTGCTTGGGTGAGGATTAAAACAGAACAAAAACAAAAAAGCGTCACCATTTCAGGCTCCTGGAAATGACACCCTACAGCAGATAATTATGGTGCTTGGCACTTTTCACATACGCTGGCGCTCAGGTTGAGCTTGAAGGAAGGAGTGAGGCGGCAGGTACTGTAATCCTGATTTTGAAGGGGTGCAGGAACTCAGGCCCAGGGAGGGAAACGGCTTGTCCGAAGTCCTCAGGGGCTGGGCCAGGCTGCAAGCTCCCAGTGCTCTCCCCTCTGTCCTGTGCTGTGAAGATGGACTCGCTCCGGGCACTGTGGCCTCCAAAGTGAGGGCACGTGACAGTTCTCTGGGCTGCGGGAAGAACTTCTCTTCATATGCATTTTTATAACAAAAAAAGTCACTAAACTGTATTCCTATTTACTATTGAGAGAAGCAAACATAATATTTAGAAATGAAATATTTGAAACAGCGTGTTTGGATTATTTTTAACCAACAACGGTATGAGATCAAAGAGGTCTGAAGACCATGGCTCTAGGGAACCACCCTGAACTTAGGCTTCCAGGATGACTTCCTTCCTGCTTTGAAGCTCAATTCAGGCTGGGTCACTGCAGGGGACCAAGAGGGACCAACAGCATCCTCTTGCAGACACTGGTGGATCCTGAGTCTGATCAGAGTTGCCCGCTCTCCCCAGTTCCGGCATTGTCTGGCCCACAATGGTCAGGGAGGTGGTCCGTGCTGGAGTCTCCAATGGCCTTTCCTGTTTTTGCAGCCCCAGTGTCGAAGAGGGACTCTGGACCTCCTGCCCCTTCCCATCCTGCTGAGTTATGGTCTGTCCTTGGAGTGAGGGTAAACAGACGAGGTGACAGTGTCAATAAATGCCTCCCATGTGGCCTTGGCTAGCACACATATGGTTCTACTCAGGGACACAGGTGGATTCGTGCTCGTGGTCCTTCCTATGATACACACACACAACAAGTATTAAGAAGACAGGAAATACTAATGAAAGCAAAGAATAGAACAAAAAGGAAACGAATGTGCCTTTATGGACTCTGAAAGAGATTTTGTATGTGAGTTGTCCTTGACTGGTTTTAGTATCAGGATAATGTTGGCCTCGTGAAATGAGTTAGAAAGTATTTCCTCTTCTTCAATTTTTTGGGAAGAGTTTGAAAAGAATTAGTATTTAATCTTCTTTGAATGGTTGGCAAAATTCACCAGTGAAGCCATTCAGTCCTGGACTTTGTTTTGCAGGGAAGGTTTTGATTACTGTTTCAATTTCCTTTCTAGTGATAGGTCTATTTAGGTTTTCCATGTCTTCATGACTCAGACCAGGAAAGTAGTATTCTTCTAAGAATTTGTCCATTTCTTCTAGGTTATTGACTTTGGTGGCATATAGCCTGAAAGAGATCTTTTAAAAATTAGTTCTGAGTAATGTTAAGTCATATCTCTTGAACCTTGTCATATTTCATGTGATAGGTCAGAGCCAAAGGCACCCAAAAATATAAATTTCCTAGTCACTTATAATAAATATGTGTCAGTTAGTCATTAATTAATGAGGGAACCAGCAAGACGGCACAACTTGCGCAAAGGTGAATTAAAAGACCCTCATATACAGGCCATAAGAATGCCGATACACTTGAAAATGTTTCCAAAATTGCTCTTTCCACAGGCAATAATCAATTGCTTTCCACTGGATGTGCTTCATTTGTGTTTCTGCGGAAAGAATAATTTGCATTATTATCAATTTTCCATAACTTAGAGAGTTCCTAAATATCTCAAGGGTAAAATAACATGTGAAGATAACCTTTTGTTTTGCCCATGTCAAAGTCTTTCTCACAATTTTCCCCGATACCAGAAATATAAGGTTAGAAATATATCCAAAGAATCTCATGAAACTTGATTCTATTTGAATCAAAGTGAAAGATAATTGTTGCTGAGCTTCATCACTTTCTCCATATGGGTGATTTGAGAAAGAGCAGTGTGCTGTCAAGCTAGAAAGCAGATCTGGATCAGGTCCAACCTTATCGCTCTGCAGTGGGGTGGCCTTGGGCCACTCCTTTCTCTCTGAGCCCTTGACATTTGACTTACAAATATTGGACCTATAACAATGAGATTACAGAAGGGAAAGGAGTCCTACCATGCCCTGTACAGGGTGGGAACTCAGGACACAGGGGCTTCCTTCTCCTCTTCTTGAACTGTCCCCAAAGCTTCCTCAAGGTCTGTCAAGTCTTTTCCAGTTGCAGAGGCTGCTCGTTTCATCTGCCTGGCACTTCCAGCCTCTGAGACCTCAAGTGGATGGAGTTGTGTGTGTGTAGCACCCCAGAGGCACTGGGCATGCCTGTGGGAAGGGTGGACAAAGTCTTCTTTGGAAAAAAAATAGAAACTGGCAGGAAAGGGAAGGTCTCTGGAGCTGCAGGGAGGGGAGGAAGTCAGGGAGCCCAGTGCACAGCACGGCCAAGAAGGGATGCTGGTTGAGAGGAAGGTTTGGAATAAGCCGAGGATTCCTACCTTTGGAAGGGTACATCTTTGAAAATCTGATGAAAACATTACCCCTCTCCCCAGGAACATGTATGTGAGGTAACTGGCAGCGGCCGTAGCAGGGCCTTCCTTGGAGGCACCAGGCCTGGCCTTGGGCACTCTTTGTAGCCCCCTTCCCTCCCCTCAGTGAATGTCTCAGCTTCAGAGTGACTGAGAGCCAACCTCACAGGGGAAGGAAGCCCCAAGTGAGAGGTGTCTGATTGAGCTCCTTCCCTGTCACCCAGATGATGGGGTGCTGTGGCCTAGACATTGGCTCGGGCCCCTGAGAGCCTGGCCTCTCCTATCCAGAGGGGCTGCCCTATGCATCCATCACCTCAGTCTTTGAGTCTGCACAGCAGAGGATCAGCATGGAGGGAAGGTGGTAGAGGGGACTTCCAAATGAAAGGCATGGGGCCTTGACCACCTCCCTCCCAAGTTCATGGGTCCCTGAGGGAGGTAAAGAATGTGAACTTTGGAGCCAGTTTGGAATTTGTGTCAACCATGGAGGTGCATCCCTTAGCTCTCCTTTCAAACAAAAATTTTATTTAGCTGGGTATCTGTGTCTGAGGTATTAGAGTGCTGCAGACTGGGTGGCTTAATAACAGAAATTAATTTTCTCACAGTTCTGGAGAACAGAAGCCTAAAATCAAGAGGTCAGCATGGTCATGCTTCCTCTGAAGGTGCCAGGGAAGGACCTGGTCCAGGCCTGTCTCCTAGCTCTGGCAGCTGAGGCATTCCTGGACTTACAAATGCCTCAGGAACTCTGATGTTCCTCTGCACGTGGCCCTTCTCCCTATAATGACGCTAGTCATGCTGGATTAGGTACAGTCATACTCTATTCCAATGTGACCTTATCTTAACCGATTACACCTGCAACCATCCTATTTCCAGAAAGGTCACATTCGGAGGTACTGGGGGTTAGGATTGCAATATACCTTTTTGGGGGGACTTGGGGTGGGGTAGACAAATCCAGCCCAGGACGAGCTGCCAGGAGTGCAATTAGTGGGTCTCCTCTTGCTGTAGCACCTTTGGGTAGCCGCGCTTTCCACAGGCATCTCTCAACCAGTGGGACAGAGGCTTTATCAAGTCAGCCTCACAACCAGAAGGTCTAATCCCGTCCCTCTCTTTCCATCTTTCACTGACATTATCTTCTAATAGGCATTTTGTATTTCCAACTCCATCACAGTGTCTGCTTCCTGAAGGAAGCACAGGAGGGAAGATGAATTTACTAGTTAGAGCACTTGCTGCTCAGCTGTCAATGAAGACCCCCATCCCCAGGGGTATGTGAGGCGTGATATTCCCTGGCACAAGGAGGTGGCTCAGTTGCAAATACTTTCATTGGGAGGGACCATGCTGGCCATGCAATGATTCAGGTGTTTGAAAAACACAGGGGCAATGCATAAAGGACAATGGAATTAACTGGGTGTGTTAACTCACATAAGTTACATGGAACCTACAGAGAAAAAAATGAAAAGCTGAGGGCACTTGAAAACAAAAACTTCGATGTGAAGGTGCTTTGGGTAGTTCACAAATAAGCTTTTATTTCCTGCAAAGGGAGCTCAGAAAAGCTTATGATCAAAATCAGAATTTAAGAATATGGAAAGATGACAGAAGGCTTTAACTGAGGCAAGTCTGCTATGCTTAAGCCAGGGCCCTGGGTAGGAAAACCGGGGCCCAAAAGCAGGGTTCAGGGAAACCTGTATATTTCGCCTGCCCCCCAGACACCACACTACCAGAGCATGCAGAGGTGGTCCATCTCCCTCTAACGAGACAGGGAGAAAGTTTAAGCAGGGGGTTTAGGGTGGTCACACCAACAAAATGTCACAATGTCAAGGCCAATTCTTGGACCTCATCCAGTTTTTACATTTTTGTAGAAGGGAAAACCCATTGGTGGGAGAGGTGGCTGGGTCTCCAGGAGAAGGGACTGTGCTACACCGCAGCAAGCATATACTGTAAGTATCTTCCCAGTCCTTCCCTGAAGAGACTGATGGCCATTTACTCAGAGTCTGTTTCCTGGGGAAATGGGGTACCCAGATGTTGTTAGGTCTATTGGACCCAGGGTTTATGTTGACATCGATACCCAGAGACCTGAAGTGTCATGAACCTACATATGAGGGTCAATTAATAGCCACTGGAGTCCTGTCTGAAATTCAGCCTACAGTGGACCCAGATGAGATGTGAAACCACTCAGTACTCATTTCTCCGATCTCTGATGTATAACTGGTGTTGACATACTTGGCAGATAGAGTGACCCGTACTTAGGGTAAGGCCCTCTTACCTTTGGGGTCATAGCTACCATAGTGGAGAAGGCCAAGCAGAAGCCTCTGAATCTGTTCTCCTCTCCTTCCTCCCCACTCCACTCCAGTCTCTACACTCCTACTCCCCACCATGATAGTAAACCAAAACCAGTATTGTATCCTAGGAGGGTGGTAGGTATTATTGCTATCATAAGGATGTTAAGACGCAGGAGTGATGGTCCCTATCATATCTCTGCTTAATTTATCAGTCTTGTCCTTGCAGAAAACAGATAGATCTTGGAGTGTGACGGTAGACCACTGAGACCTCTAAAAAATAGTAGCCCCAAATGCAGCTGCCATGCTAATCTAGGTGCATGGTATGCTGCTACTGTCTTGACAGATGTGATATTTTCTGTCCCAATCAGGAAAGAAGATCAGAAACAGTTCACATTCACGTGGAATGGACAACAATATACAATCATAGTTTTATCCCAGGGCTGTGTGGATCCTCTTCTCCTTGTCATAATAGTCCAAAAGAGATGTAGACCATGTGGACATCCTGCTGAACATCACATTGATCCATGGCATCCATGACGTCACACTGACCAGGAGGCGGAGCAAGAGGTGACCAGAATACTGGAGGCTTTGATACGACACGTGCACTCCAGAAGGCGGGAAATAAGTCTTACAAAGATTTACAAGTCTGCCACACCAGGAGAGACTTTAGGGGTCTAGGAGTCAGAGCGTGCCGGGACAGCCCATTTAAAGCGAAAGGCAAATGGAAGCATTTTGGTTCTGTTGCCATATAGAAGGAAGCATAGGGTCAGTTAGGACCTTTGGGATTCTGGTGTTACATATGCTATATCTAGGGACACTGCTTCCCTTCATATACAGGGTGACATGAAAGTCTCCCAGCTTCGGGTGAGGCCTGAACCGGAGGGGGCTCTGCAGCAAGTCCAGGCTACAGGATAAACAGCCTAGCCACGTGGGCCATACAATCCGGCAGATCTCGTTGTTGGAGATACCAGTATAGAAAAAGATGTGGTATGACGTTTGTGGCAAATTCCAGGAAAAGAGAATCACATACAGGCCCTAGGATGAGGAATGAGGGCTGGGGTCACCTCACCTGACCTGCCATGGAGGTAGCTGAGGCAGGTGGGGTTGAGACAAATTTAAAATAGAGAGTGGAGGATATGAGGTGATGAGCCCCAGCTGAAGCTCCAAGATGAGCTCCAGCGCCTGGAGTTACACTTTGCCGCACTAACCCCCCTCTTTTAAGTCTTTTCCCTCCAGAAAGAGAGGTTCCCCAGAAGCCTGGAAAAGGGCATCCCTGCTAGGTGTACTGGGGGGACTGTGAAAGTGCATGACTTGAATCTTCCATGGAGAACTTCTGTTTAGTTTAAAGGGGCAAAGTAGGGTGACAGTTTCCATCTGCAGAGCTTTCTGGCTGAGGTGGTGCTCTCTGGGCAGCTCAAAGCGGCATGTAGGTCCTAGGATCTGGCCCTTTCTGCCCAATGTGGGGACCCTTCTAATGGGCAGTCTTTGCTCAGGGGCTCCCCTTCGAGTTGGCTGGACTTTGTCAGTTTTGTATCATAGTCTGAGAGCAGTTTGAGCAACTCTTGGGATCTGAAATCAAGGTAACATCTGATGGAGCTGCAAAGTGAGAGGCTCCATTGGAAAGCCAAGCCTCCCCCTAGACAACTTCTGGAAGTTCAGAGAGTACAGGGTTTGGGGCAGACATGCCCGGGTTCCATCTCAGTTTCTCCACTGACCAGTCATGGAGCTTTGGTCTCTGTGCTTCCCAAAGAGGCCTCATCTTTTCAACTCACTGATTCTTCTCTCTTTCTGCCTTTCCCTTCACACCACATGCTCAGCCAGAATCCCATGGGGGCAGATTCTCTGCCAGGAGCTGCCAAAGGAAAAGTCTGTATTTCTAAGACAACCCACCCTCTCCCTGGTCCCTTTTTCCCTCCCCAGGATACCTGCCTCCTTTCATTGTCAAAGGAAGCCAGGCACTTAGGAGCCGAATTAAAGTTTAATAAACTTTCTTGAGTTCCTACTTTGTACCAGATCTCAACGAGGCAGGCTCTGTTATTACACCTATTTGACAAGTGAGCAAACCGAGGCTCAGCAGAGTCAGGAGATGAAATTGAGATGGGATCCCATCCCATCATCCTCCAGGTCCAATGCTCCTTCTCTCGTGCCAGCGCAGCTGGGTGGGGTCACTGCCCATATCTGTGGGGATGGAGATCTGAGAAGCCTGACTGATAACTAGATAACTGGGAGCCCGGGCAACAGTGAATGCAGCCTGCCCAGGCCTGTGGTGTCTGTGTGCTGGAGGAGGCGTCTGGAGGAGCTCCTGGGACCAGGGAAGCCCTGGGCAGGCCCTGAATGTTCCCTGGAATGTTTGGGACGATCAGAGCTCTTGGATAACAGCGAAGTCATGCTAACAACATCAACTCTGGTTTCTTAAATTCTTACTATATGCCAGCCACTGAAGGCTAACAAACATAATCTCATTTAATCCTCCAGAAACTCTGAGACGGGGGATTTGTTATCCAGAGTTCTCCATCCAGGCCTGTGTGACTCCAAAGCCTGCTTATGTACCTCGATACAGATCTGCATCTGCTGCAGTAATGACCAATGACCCTTGCCCCAGCAGACCGTGCCTTGGCCCTTGCTCTGGCCACCGTTCCTCTCTTCCTGGGGCTTCTCAGAGCAAGGCGGAGGTTTTGGGCTTAGATCGCTGAAAGGATAAGGCCTTGCTAAGTGTGGTTGAGGCCCTCCTCCCTGAAATACTAAGACTTACAGAAGATGAAAGAGACATTCCGAACCCCATTCAGAGCAAGAGGAAAAGTGAGGGGCAGACTTAATGCTCATAGAACAGAACAGAATGCCCCCGTCCCCCACCCTGCAATCCTGTCTTTTCTATCAAGAAGAAAGCTCTCAAACCAGAGAAGAAGAGCAATTTGGCCGAAGAGCAATTTGGCCAAATACCAGGCTGGGCTCGAACCTGGTGGCCCCCAATTGCCTTTGCTCTGCTTGAGGCCCCTCCAGACAGAGATAGGTCATTCCGGGACCCTTATAGGGAGGGGAGAGATGCCAGGAAAAAAGCCAAAAATAATACTTCCTCAATTTGAGCAAGGGAAAAATACAGTGCATTGAGTTATGATAATCCAGGCAAAATTCCAGAAGTTCCTTTTCTAAGCAGGGATTATAGGGAGCCGAGACAGGTTCACTTAGGTCAGTGCACGTCTGACTCTTCAGATTTGCCCTGTAGGAGGGCGATCGGAGCGTGTTGTGGGAAAAGAACCACAAATTTGGAATTTAAAAATAAGACTTTGTTGTTCTAAGAACTGCACGGAGGAAGAAAGGAGAGAGTTCATCCATCAGGTTCTGGAATCTACCACACCCCAGCTCCTTACATATTAAAATTATAGGCTTCCTTTTATAGCAGAGTAAACTCAAGAGCGCTGCCAAATTTTGCCTGGTGGTCAGCAAGGGAGGAGGAGCCTGGGGAGCTCCAGTGAGGCAGATGACACCTCCTGAGGCAATGGCTTTTGGTAACTTGCTTTAGAGAGAGGGGGTTAGTGTTCGTCCAAAAAGGCACTCGGGATCTAGGATGTTTAGAGTTTATCCAGGAGAAATAAAAACATCAGAAATATGAATACAATTCTCTCAGAATACATGGCCTGGATTGAGGAGGGGCTGCTTTTCTTGGCAGGTACCTCTAGCACTGAGGTCAACCTTGCAGTTGAGGCTTTTGAAATGTCTCTCGCGTTGTGAATGTTAATGCAGAAATATGGACCAAATCTTAGGGTAGCTCAGCCTTCTACACATGGCTGGTTGAACCCCTCTGCCCAGGATTGGAGGAATTAATTGATTCTGTTACATAGGACTTCGCTGCCTTGATGACTCAGAGCATCAACAGTGTGGTCCTTCCACTAACGCTCACAGGTATCTGCTCTGGGTGTGCCCTGTGTGGGGAGCAGGTGTAGAAGAAAGGAATGTGTGAATGGAAAACCCTGCCGGATGCCCCCTGGCCCGGAGACTGGTCTTGCACTGTGCTCCATCTGCCTGCATGGCCTGGCTGTTCCTATTGTGGAGGCCATGAAGTGGAGACGGCCAAAGCTAACGGTCTGGAGTTAGACTGACTCTCACCCCCACCCCAGACCATTCAGTCCCAGCTCTGCCTTTACCAGTTGTGCCGTAGGCAAGTTAATAATTTACCTATGCCTCACTTCTTCATCCGAAAATGTGACTAAGAGTGGTATCTGGCAAATAGGGTTAAAGTCCTGACTGGATTTCACTTTTTGACTTGTGACCCACAGTAAAGAACACATCTTTACATCCAGACCCAGGAAACATTTCCGGTGTGTGTATAACTGGAAAAAAGTTTCCAACGTCATGGCTGGTGATGAACTGTGATATTTTCCATTCTATTCAATTCTTTCATTAAGTAAATTGATGGTTAGCAGCCATTAAATGGACTTTTACTACGCACATTGGCCCACAGTGTGGAAAGCACTTGTTTAAGGTCATTTTGGAGTGTTGTATTTAGCTCCCAAAACTGTAGTTTTCTTACACATGTCATTATTTAAGAGAATAATGTTCAAGCTAAAAGGTGTCTGGAAGAGAATTACCAGAGTATTCCATTCTGTTATTCTTTCTCTTTCTTCTTCTTCTTCTCTCTCTCTCTCTCTTTTTTTTGTTTTGCCTCTGCTCCACTCATTTGATAGATTCTTCCTGCAGTCATTTATTTACCACTTATCACAGGTTTACGTGCCTGTCTCACCTGGAAAAAAGACTCCAGGGAAAGACCTGTTACGAAGTCACGTGAAGGAGAAACTAGACCTGTTCCTTACAGTCCCCTAAGCAGAACCGGGGCTTCTGGGTAAAAGTGATGGGAAGCCAATACCAGTCATCACATAGAAGGTGTTTTCTGGTCCCGATACTTCTAGGCCATGGGTCCGGCTGCCTGTGAGACCTCTTCGGAAGTGAGTAATCAAGGTGGGAGAAAGGACGTTATTAAGAGGCTCCCAGTACTGAGTAGAGGCTGGGCTGAGGTTGGCTGTTCACCCCGCGCTCCGCCCAGCTTTGGGGTCTGCTCCAGGCACTGCGAAGGCCGCTGTGGGAATGAAGAGGAAACCGACTAGTTGGGGTTCTGTGCCCTGACCTGGCAACCGCCCACGCTGCTGCATTTCTCTGTTACACAATAGGCTTCTCCGTGTGGTGTATTTTAGGGGGAAGGACATAGAGACACTGATGCCGACCAAAAAAACTTTAATCTCTCAACTGGGAGCTCATTCAATCCCTTAAGTTTTAGAAGCGATCATTTCTAGGATTCAGACTCATTTTTTCTCCTATAAAATCAAGTCCATTATAATTACAGAATATGCTTTTGTTTTGCCCTCTTAAATCCAGATATAATTGAGAGCAAGAGTTAAAGAATCACAAGTATGGCAAGACCCAGGACTGAGATGTCATTCTGTGTCAGTGGTTTTTCTGCTCCCCGAGTGCCCTCCTCCCCGTCCGGCCTATCCCTGTCCCAGGAGGAGTGAGGAGAGCCCTGCCTTTGTGCTCAGCCCCTCAGGGGGTGTGGGTGAAGCAGGCTGAAATCAGAAGTCTCCAGCAGACAACTGGTCTTTCAGGCTTTTGTTGATTAAGCCTGAGGGGACTGTGCTGAAAGAAAGGGAAGAAGGAACCAGAGGGAGGTGGGTGGGTAGGTCCTGCAGGGACCTGGCGGAATCCCAGGAGGTAGTGGTTGGGAGGTCCTCGGAAGGAACTGGGACCCCAGGCACCCATGCACCTTTGATCCCCTAAAGCCACAGGGCTGTCAGCCTCCTGGAGGATTCGGGGTTAGTCTCATAGGGCTTCTCAAACATGAATGTGCCTATGAGTCATCTGGGACTCTTGATCAAATGCAGATTCTGATTCAGTAGGCCTGTGGGGGGGCGGGGGATTCCTGAGAAGCTGAGTTTCTAAGGAACCGTAATCAGGGACCCTGATATTGCTGGTGTTAAGGCAATACTTCGAGTAGCAAGGAGTTCAAAGAGTCCTTCCCTTGTTTTCTGGGGACACATAAACCTTCCAGACTCTTGGGCACCCTTAGAACAGGGAAGACCCTCCCAGTGATAAGGGAACTGAATGTCCCATCAGTGCGGGGTCACAGGAAGCGCCATCATTTTGAATTTGATTTGAAAGAGCTTTCACACTTGTGCTGGTGGTTGCAAACTCACAGCCAAGGCCCAGGTGAAGCAGCCCCTCCAGGGGATTCAAGGGTCATTAACCCCTCTTGCTGCAGGCTTGGATGAATCAAGTGCGATTCACTTGCTCTCCCTTCCCAGGGCAAGAAAATCTCTGGCCCTGTGTCCTTTGTTTCAGTTTTCCCAGAAGCACTTGAGCCTCGGGACATCTTCTCCTCCCCCTCTTCTCCACTCTAGGGGGTTAAATCCATAAAATAGCTCCTTATCTTAATGTTTTTGGGTGGAATTTTATCTGTCCCCTATCTTGTCCTCACCCAGAAGCTCAGAATCCATCTGTTTGCGCCCCCTCCCCCAGCCTGAGATAACAATTAAACCCAGGAACCAGAAAAGAATGGACTGGGACACAGCAAGTTCCCTTCCCATTTTGAAGGTCCCCCTCTGAGTCCCTCCCTATTTTGAAGGTCTCTCTTCGGGAAGCGGCGTTAGTGTCAACCCTGTTTATTTGTTCATCTTCACTTCCTTTGCGTACTTGTCCTTCCCGGGCGTATACATTATTTTGTAAAGAATAGAAAAAAAGCCAACCCTTCATGGCCTAGCCCTCCCCCTAGTTACTGCCGACCTCAGGGAAGTATTCTTAAAAGGGACTTCGCCTTCTTTCTTCAGTGTATTTGTAAAAGGAACACTTGGTAAATACTCCTTGCCTTGAAAATAACAGTGTCTTGTATTTGCATAGTACTTTAAACTTTTCAAAGGGATGTAGCATTAATGGGGCGTCAGCTTGTGCTGGGGGCAGCATCTCATTTAATCTGCCCAGCAACTCCTAAGAGCGGTGTTCATAATAGCCCCTCTCCGCTGGTTCATCCACAAGTATTTAAGTGAAGGTACCTTCCTGGTTGAACCAAAAGCAGAAATGTCCATTTAAAAAATGAAGTTTAAAGGGATAGAAAGCTGGAGCTCTGCTTCCTTGGCCCATAGGGATGCCCCAGAAGGTTATTTCACACCCCAATCCCTAAAAGTGATTGAGGGAAAGTGCCGAGGTGGAGATGGTAAGGAGGGGCCTTCTGATCTCTTGAGCCAAACAAAGCCACTGAGCGATTTCTTTCTTCGGGCTGTCGTCAGTGAGCCCAGTGAGCCGGGGAGGTGGGAAAAGGGAGCCCTGATGTGCAATTGTACTGGGTTTTGTATCAGAGGAGTGAGAGATTTAGCACCAGGCTGTGCCCACGCTTGGGAACTAGGTGCCACCTAGCAGCTGTGACATCGGGATGCCTAGAATCTAGCTCAGCAATTCCACTGGCCAACCAGGGGCCTCTGGCCTGGACGGGCGAGGCTCTAAGCCTTTTAGGAAAATGGAGTGGTTGGACAGGCTGCTCTCCAAGGTCTGCAATACTCCGATCTTGTAGCTTGAGAAGGGAAGTGCCTCCTTTGCTTGAGAAGTTGTGACCTGTTTTCTTTATGAGGGGTGAGAGGAGCACACACACACACACACACACACACACACACACACACACGGGTGCCATCCTGGGGTTTGTGCTGGGGCTGCAGTAATGACCAAGACAGACACAGTTCTTAATCTTTCTTCTTGTGGAGCAGACGGAGTGTCAGGAAAGGCAGACACCGAACAAGTGATTAAACAGTTACTGCTTCACTGAGGTTAGAACAGAGACCGAAGTGATGAGAAGGAGCATGAGTGAAGTGAAGGGAACGAGGGAGTTCCAGGCAGAGGGAACAGCAGGTGCAAAGGCATAGGCAGGTGCGAGGCTGCCATCCGGGTGGGACAGAAGGAAGCCTGAGTGTCACAGGGGGAGGGGAGGCAGATGAAAAGGCAATGACACCTCTTTCGTAGTCTGGCTCAGGCTACAGAGTCCACTGTGGAGGCGAGGGACTGGACTCGGGGTGCTTCTCGGTTCCTTCTCCCCACCCCACCCCATCACACTCAGAGACACACAGACACACACAGCAGCCTCGGGGAGCCTTGGAAACAGCTGAGCAGGGGCTTTGTGGTAGATCATTCAAGGCAGGAAAAACTCTGTTCTTCTCCCCCCAGTCCCACTGGTGGGGGGACCTTGGGGTTTCGCCCAAGGAAAGGAAGCACAGCTTCCTGGTTTATGTTGAAGTGGGAAAGACTTGCCCAAGAACAATGGCATTTTTGTAAGACACAGCTTTGTTCTGGTGAGACCAGGAGGGGGTTTCCTTTGGGACCTTGCTGGTCCCATCGCCCCCATCTGCCAACCACAACAGCCGCATGGCGTTCTCCCGGACCAGCCTTTCATCTTAAGACACTTGCTCACCCCTAGCCCTGGCCAGCTTAACCCTTCAGACACCACCCTTCCCAGCATCCAGGCCTCGAGGAGGTCCCTGGAGATCACAGGACAAGCTGGCCAGGAGAGACTTTTGGGAGAACCAATAGATGACTTGACCATCTCTGTTCTCCCGTCTGAAGGGACCTCCTGGAAAAGGAGTTCAAATCTGTCCTGGGAGTGTCTCTGCTCAAAAGAATCTTTAAAACATGAGTCAGAAGATCGTTCTTTTTACAAGTGAGGAAACTGAGGCAGAGAAAAGCAAGCGAGTTTGCTAAGACCATACAGGGAGTTGGGGGTGGAGTCCAGGCTGAGTCCAGAGCTCTGACTCTCAGACCGGCTCCCCTCCCATGTACTGTCCCGCTGTAAATCGGCAGCACAAACATTTGGGTAGGTGACAGAGGAAAGTCCCCTTTGGAGAGACCTACGGACCTGCAGGGGCCCCCGAGTGTCTCGGTGGCGGGGGTTGTGGAGGGAGCAGGCTGTGTGAGGAGGGGAGTTGGTCTTTCTGACGTCACAGCAGCGGTGGGGGGGGATGACTGCTGGAACTGTTTCTGTGTTTTCCAGGCACGCATGGCCGGTCCTCTGTGAATTGCCAAATGGACACATTTAGGGAAACAATCAAGTCTGCTCAGATGAGGACGTTAACAAGAAGACGGGGGGCATGTACTCAGGTGGTCAGAACAATGAGTTGGAAGGGCTTCGCTTTTGCTCTCCTCCAGCTTGTTCGGTGTGCATTCTGCCTGCCACAGAAAAGGGCTCAGGTAAACACCAGAGGTCTCTCACTCCAATAAAGAGGCCCAGTGGGGGTGGTGGCGGCAGTGTTGGGGTGACGAGAGACACTGGTGACAACCCCGCAGTGGTTACAGTGACGGAATAGACGTCAGTAGTAGTGAACACCGTAGCTGTGGTTCTAGTAACATGGCATTGGTGTGGCGGCGGTGGTGGTGGCAGCCAGTTTGGTGGGGTTATGACAGTCACGGTAACGACAGACAGTGACGGTGGGAGGGTGAGGTGACAATGGTGCAGATTGTGTGCTAGGGAGCAGTGATGGCTCGATGATGGCGGTAAAGGTGATGGGGGGTTGGTGTTGCAAAGGATGGCCATAGTTTTGGTGGTAAAATGACAGTTGTCTTGGACGGTGGTGACAGTGATGGTTGAGGTTGTTTTAAGGATAGCAGGGGTCGTTGGTCAAAATGATTTTTTTAACAATGCTTTGTGTTGCTGGTGGTGATGGTAGCGGTGAGGGTGTTAGTGCCCACGACGGCGCTCTGTCTGCTGGTGTTGATGACATCTGCCCGTCCTCATGGAAGCACAGTGACATGGTGCTTGCAGTGACAGTGACGGGACAGTGGAGGGACACAGCGATAGGGAGGGCGGTGGTAGAGACAAGGACGAAGACCGAGATGGCGGTGACGCCATGGCGAGTCATACCATCTCTGCAGAGACCCCTGGATTCCACGAGCTGGACCAGGTCTCTGCTGGCTGTGCTGGGTCGGGGGAAGGGGTCACACATTCCTCCAGAGCCCTCCTCCCGCAGCTGCATTCATTCCTGATGCAGCTCAGTTCTCTGTGCAGGAGATGGCTATCTTTGGGGGTCGGTGGGGACGGCGCTGAGAAACAGGTCTGTGGCTAGGAACGTAAACAGAGAGGCTCTGTGAGGCAGGTCACCAGGACACAGGTATGCGAGGCATGCCCACGGCAGGGGCCCCGCTGGGGGCAGGGAGGCAGCCGCGGTGGCCGTGCAGGGGCTCACGTAGCTGGCAGAACGAGGGCTGTATTTTGGCTGACTCAGCAGAGCAGGCTGGGACTGATTCCCTTGGACTAATAATGTGTCTTCTCCCTGGGATTAGCTCACTCAGTCCCGGCTGGGAAAAGGGGAGGGGGCAGCCTCTCCCGTCTCCCCAGGATTTACGGGCCTCGCAGGAGGCTGGGAGCAAAGTACAGGCCCTAGCAGGACCAGTGACTGAACCCGTGTGTTGTGGCCTTTACCTCATTTCCAGGGGGCACCCATTTGGCTGGCAGGGAGCCAGGCTCCCCAGGTGTCAAGAAATCCGACCTGCCCTACCCCCACCCTCTCACTCCCAACCCCACTCCAAGCGGTCAAATCCCCCGCTCGGCTCCGGCTCCGCAGAAGGCAGCACACACAGCCTGGGCGTGAGGAGCATAGGCGCGGGGCGGCTCGCCTGTCTTCCCAGGTCTCCCACACACTACCTGCGTGGCACTAGGATGGTCGCCGTACCTCTGGGCGTTTGGGCTCTTTGTTTGAGATGGGGGCACTGACTGCTGCTCGTAGGCTGCCCTGAGACCACAACGTGCTCGACGTGTCGGCACCGACGGTCATGCAGAAGCATTTGCCGTTTATTAGCACTCCTGATTGTAGAGTAACTTTAAGGGATTCAAGCTCCCTGCACCTCAGTTTTCCCATTAGGAAAATGGGGATAATTCTCAGTGTGCGTAGTTGACGTGGAAATTGAAGGGGACTAGAGGAGGGGAAAGAGCCTGTACAAAGTGGCCCATTAGTTGTTACCGGACAGTTCGTATCCCTCCTGGAGCAGGGGGCTCACGTGGTGCAAAATCTGGGGTCCCTGGAACACTGCCATCCTGTGGGCCCAGGATCTCGTGCCAGGCCTGCTGCCTCTGACACAGAAGCAAATCCCCCTCCAGCAGGGTTTTCGCAGGTCAGCAGCCACTTCCTAGTCCTTTGCCCTCTCCCCTCCCCCAGCCCCGACTGACCCCCTGGGGCGGGAGGGGTGAAAGGAAGACAGGGTTCTGGGGGAGCCCTCTTGAACCCTGCCTTCCTCTTTTTCTTCTTTTCCTTCTTCACTCCCCCACTCACTCACATTCACTTATTCGTGGACAGGACAGAGAAGTCATGGGATCTGCCCTCGTCTCCAAAGACTCGAGTTTGGATCCAATAAGAGAAAGAGAGGGGGAGGGAGAGGGTGAGAACGTCAAGTGAGAATCAAACTCTGCTTTGCATTGAGGAAAATGACCAACAGTGATGCTGTCTAGTTACTATAAAACAAACATTTAAATAACAGAATGACTGTATAACTAGTTTGTTTTCTCAACTGTAAGAGTTGATGATACGCCCTCATGGATTTGGTATTTTTTCCTGTTCGCTTGGACTTCGAGTGCAAAGACTCGAGTTGGTCACACTCCTCCCTGCTGATTTCCCCTTCCTCCCAGATGCTCATCCCATCCCTGACTGCCCTCCTCAGCCCAGGAATCCATGCCAATGCATTTTCTAATATCCTTGAAATGTGCTTGTCTTTATAAAGTGTGCATTTGGGGGAATTAGTTTACAAAAATGGCATGATGCTGCGAATCTTCCTGGTCTCTCCTTTTCTTACTCGACACCGTTACTCTGAGGCCCACGTGTGCTCCTGCGCGCAGAGCGATCACTGCTGCCGTGTTCCACAGTGAGCATCACGCACACTTCGCTCACTCATTTCCCCAAATGATAGACCCGCCACCACCCCGGCCTCACCGCCGTGCCGAAAGCATCAATAGCAAGCCCTTCGTGCCAAGCCTGCCCACAGTTCCTGTTCAGTGAAGTCAGCCCTGGTTACTGGTACGCTATCGTTGTTTACATCAGTACTTCAGGCTACACGGTTTCCATAACATTAACAGTCAGTTGCACAAGTGCTTCTTGTTTACACCTTGTTTTGACGGAGTGCTGTTTACTCCCTCACATACCACTGTTAGGGTCCGCGTCCAGTGAGGACGTCAGTTTCACAAGGGCCCCACAGTCTGGAGGAGCACACAGTCCAGGAAAGGGACAGTTCGGGGCTGGGGTGGGACACAGAACGGGCAGAACCCCCAAAGTAGCATTTTAAAGGACGGTAGGAGCACCCGGGGCCGATGGGGGAGGCGGGGGGAGAAGTGGGGAAGAGGTGTCCCAAATAGAGGAACACTGTGTGTGAGCGGCCAGGAGCCTGTAGCTGGTGGGCATGTTTAAGAAACTTAATGACTCTGTGATGGCTGAGGCCAGGGGCATGAAGGGGAGGGGGCAGAGACAGCAGCCAATGCTGGTTCGGCTCTTAAATGCACCAGGCACTGTTCTAAGTGAGTAAGTACAGAACACGTTTTTTTAAAGTTCAGTGACTTACCACATAGTGAACATCTTGCAATCCTGATCTAAGAAGAAACAGGAAACTGTCAGGATGGAACCTTCCTGAAGCCACACAAGAGCCCTAGGAGGCCGCTCTCATCCCTCCCATTCTACAGGACCGGAAACGGAGGCTCAGAGGGGCTTATTAATGGGACACCCAAGAGCTGACAGGCTGCCTGGGCTTATACCCACAATGCTCTGACCTCTGAAAAACAAGGAAAGCCCTGACCGGTACGGCTCAGTGGGTTGGGCATTGTCCTGCAAAGCAGAAGTTCACCTGTTTGACTCCCATTCAGGGCACACGCCTGGGCTGCAGGTTTGGTCCCTGGTCCCAGCTGGGGTGTGTCTGAGAGGCAACCAATTGACGTTTCTCTCTCATGTTGATGTTTCTCTCTCTGTGTTCTTCCCTTCCCCTCTCTCTAAAAATAAAGAAATAAAATCTTTAATAAAAAAGACAAGGAAGGGGAGGTGGGGCGAGATTGCAAAAGACCTCACAGGCCAGCCGAGGGGAAAAGAAGGTTCAGGAGGGCCCAGGGGCCGTGGACGTGGGTGTTGGAGATCACAAGAGTGGGGTGAGGGTGTCTGTGCTGCAGGTGTTATACATGAATGTGAATGAATGTGTGTGTGCGTGAGTGTGCGTGCACTGGTGTGCCTGGGTACATGTGAGTGTGCCAGGGCTCGTGTGTCTGGGAGACAGTGCAGGTCCCACTGGGCAGGGGAGTGTGTGTGGGCGTGTGTGTGAGAGCACTGTGTGTAAGTGTGGGAGCCTCTGGCTGTTCACAGCGCCTGAGCGTGTGTCCTGTTGGCCCCGGTGTCCCTGCCTCCGTGGGGCCCCAGGGAAGCTGTCAGAGCCCATTAGCCCTGCCTGGTGCGAGGGGCCTGGTCTTGGCTGCAGAAGCTAGATGGGTGCGCATCAAAGGCAGCCCGAGCCTGGGGCCAGTGGGTGGAATAATTTAATGAGGGTCCAGGAGAGAGGCGCTGGCTGCTGGGGGGTGGGAGGGGTGCCGGTTTGTGCCCAAGCCAGCTCCCAGGCTCCACGGCTGAGCCTCTTGTGTCTGCCTGTGTGGCGGGAGAGGGCAGGCTGTGCTGGGTGCCCGGCCGTGCTCCTCTCCTTCCCTGTGCAATGGGAGAACTGCATCTGGCCCCCAGGGGTTCCCTGCTCCTGCCTGGACACCAGTCTAGCCCCCAGGTGTCCCAGGGAAGTTCAGAGGAACCAAGGCACAAGGTCGGACGCTTTCACCTCTGAGACTGCTGACATCAGCATGAGATGGACAAGGGAGAGCCATTCCCAGATCAACCAGACCAAGCCCCTCACCTGACAGAGAAGTGTGTGTGTTGGGTGTTCTTTCGTGGGCGCCTTGGATCAAATAGAGAAATATGGGGGACTCAATCTAGTCCATTTTATTAGGGCTAGAAAAAGGAGGGTTTTGGGTCAGGGGTAGGAGAAGGGGGTGAGGACAGAGTGGCCCTTGCCAGGAAACAGTTATGATGGGACGAAGCAGAATGCTGTCTTTGTCCTTAGGGTCCTGGACACACACACAGCCCTGTGTTGTCCAAAGGGCACAGTGTGAGAACTTTGTCCTGGAGGCTTCTGTGACAAGTGTCCTTTCATGGCAAGAACCTCCCGTGGGTTCAGCTGTAGGGTCGGGCCCAGACTCCTGCTCCACAGAGAAGGCTTCCTCCAACTTCTATGGCCTGCGCTCTGGAAACTCGAACCGAGAGCTGCAGATGCGGGGTCCGTCGTCTGAGCCCAGCCCACAAGTCAGTTTTTTTTTTTTGGCTGCCACAGGACTGACATGTATTCTTGGACATAAATGCTTGAGACAGGGCCTGATCTCTCTGTTTACACACCAGCCCCACCACTCCCTGCTGCTCACACCCGCCCATTGCGCTCAGTTACATCACCTGCGTGCCACCTGAAAGTACTTGAATTTGGGATCCTGGAGCCGGAGCTCTTTGAGAGACGGGTTTGTGTATTTTCGGTGGCATAATCCAGCACAAAGTCGGTACCTGAGAAAGGTCCGCTGACTCCCGTTGGCCCCAGTTCCTGTACCTTCAGCGCCCCCTTCCTTTCACTGCTCCTCTGCAGCCCGCACTTAGGCTGGTCTCCGTTCCCTGAAACACCGGTTTCCCTCTGGAAAGCTTCCCGGAGAACCCCTGCTCAGCACCGAAGACCCAGGATGCGCAGCCCCACCTCCCGCCAGAGGGGCGGCTCCCGTGTTCCTGCCACGCTCCATCTACCGCGGAGTTACAGCCCCCAAACCCTGCACTGTAATGACTTGTTCCTGGGTCGGTCTGTCCAGCTTGGAGCATCTGCTAGAGAACTCTGACAGCTGTTTTTAGACTAGTTTGTATTTGATGTGCACATAACATGTCACTCGCTGAGAATGACTTCAGTGGCTTAATCGGCCCATCTCCAAGTGTCCTTAGGAAGCCTGAGTTAGGTAGCTCACTCGCCCATTTCGGTAAATCCCACACAACTCTGGTTGCTTTGCTCCCAGAGCCTGGTGCCTTCACCCTCCTCTTCAGTGCCTGTGGGAAGAGGCCTCATGACTCAGGGTCTGGCCCTTGAGGGAGGACAGTCAAAGAGCCCACAAGCCAGGACCAGTCCTGTCACCAGGCTGGCCTGGGCCACTCCTGGCTCATGAGTCAGCACTTTCTGGGGATACCTGTTATGTTCGGCCAAGGCGAGTTGCCTGAGCCTGCGGGGAACCGCGGGCAGAGCGCACTTCCCAGGAATGCCCAGGGCAATGCCAGGACTCGCCCGTGTAACGCCAGGCTCCGTGTGCAGCTCCCGCCCCGGGGTCCAGCCTGAGCTCTGCAGGGTCTCATCAGGGTCAGCTCCTCTCTCCGGCCTCAGGAGGGTGGGCACGTGTGTGTGCGGGAGTGAGAGAACATGTGTGTGTGAATAGACATGTGAGTGTGAGGGCTGCGTGTGAATGAGTGTACATGAAGGTGTACTGTGTGCAACCACAGAGGAGCACGTGTGTCTGTGTGTGATGAGTAGGTGTGTGCCATGGCGTGTGCGCAGGCATACACAGCGAGTGAGGATGTGTGTGAGGTGTGAGTGACGGTCTGCGGGTGCATTCACGGGAGCTGTGTGGCATGTGGGTGTGTATACACGTGACTCTCCGTGGCAACAAATGTGAATTTCAGTCCTGATACTGCCACTCCCTAAATGTCTTGAAAACGAAAATCCCTTCCCCTCTCTCTTTCTGTGAAATGGAGTGGCAAAGACAAGGTGCTCTCTTAAGGGCCCTTCTAGCTCTGACAGTCGACAGCCCTGTGCAGAGGTTAAGCGCAAGCGTATGAAAGTTGTGTGCACTCAAGTGTGTATGTGTGTGTGACTGTGTGTATGAATGTGTGTGTGCAAAGGGCGTGACTTTGAATGCCGATTCCACACTTAGTAGCTGTGTGTATGAGATTTCAGCCCCGCCTCTCTCTGAGCCTCAGTTTCCTCATCTTCGGACAGGGCTAGTGATTCCTGCAAGGCTGCCGTGAGGACTAGGAAATGTTTGCAAAGTGCCCAGCCCAGGACCTGTCCCAGTTTGCTGTCCACAGGAAGTGCACACACGTGTTTGCGTGTGTGCATGCACACAGAGACACTCACGCTGACGTGCTTGGCTGTGCGGGTTGGTCCAGAGGACAGAGTGACCGCTTGAACTCGCTCCTGCCCTCGGAGGTTCTGATTTCTCTTGCTGGGGACGCAGCCACCCAGGAGAGGTGGAATTGGGAAGTCAGCGTCTGGCTACTCGCCTAGAACCACGTGGTCCCGAGAGCTCCCTGGCGCCCCAGGCTGGCTGTCACATGAGTGCAGTGGCCTGGAAAGGAGGGTTGGTGTGGGCAGGAGATGGGCTTCCAAATCCGCTTAGAGCCCACACCACCATCCGATTTATTAGAGACTAAAGACATTCTTCTTCTTCTTAAGGGGTCAACCCCAGCCTGGGTGGTGGCTGCAGTGAGCACGAGGCCCTGAGCCCCACGCCCACCGAGAGCAAGGCTTCAGAGCGGGGCAGACTCAATAAGGCCCTGCCCTCAGGGTGCCGCCAGCAGGGTGCAGAGAGCCAGCTGGCCTGCGGCTGCCTGGGGTCTCCTCTTAGGGCAAGAACGGCTCATACCCTGGGAAAAGGATGGGGAGGGGAGGGAAAGGAAGTTTTCTAGAAGAAGGGGGCTTGAGGGACTGGTTGAAGCTGGAGAAGAAAAGGAGAGGGAAAGGCATTCTAGGCCAGAAGATC